CTGCTAAGACTCGATAATACGCAAAAAAATATGTAATAAAAATTTGAAAAACTGGACTTATGCGCATTATGAACAATACCATAAATATACATACCGAATCAAAATATTCAATAAAAGAACACATTTGACATGTGCCCAGGGGTCATAATTATTACAATGTAAAATAAAAAAGTTTGTACATTCTTTCCCAGAAGACGACTTCTTCGCTCTAAAATTAATTGTCAAGATTTTGAGAATAGCCGCCATCTAATCATAAAATAATCTTTCATTGCGACGCCGACAATAATATCGTATCGTATTTTTTTTAAATTATGTCACGTTAGCTAATAAAAAATATAATAGTTATTGTTAAAGACACCCACTTAATCATTCAATTTTTTTTCATTTTAATTTAGTTAGGAGGAATCTAAATAAACAAGACTTAACATTGTTTCTGCTGAGTGTACGATGAGATCATTTAGTTAAACACCTAAATGTTGTTATTCGGTACTTAGAGTATTGGATAGTAACGAACATAAAGTAACTATAAAGTAATTATTTTTTCGTCATTACTAAACTTCATTACCAATTGAGCTTTCCTTTGAGTCTAATGTAATAATTGTTTTTCATCTAATCCTTGTTGTTCCCGGAATGACAAGCTTACAATTTTACATAAGAGAAAATATTTAAAAATTCTAGTCGGAGTAGTGAGAGTTGGACTTATAGATCTAAAAGACCTAAAAGCAAATAAAAAATAAAGTAGGTATCCCCTTAATTTAAAATAACTGCTTATGATTATCATTGCTTTTTTACCTATTCATTATTTTTTCCAGTTAGTTTTTTTTATATAAAATAGAGCTAAGATTGTTAACAACATTTATTTTGCTTTAAGTGAATTATAGTTTGTTATCTTATCACCTAAGGCCAGCTCCACATATGGGATCCAACGTTGGCGCCAACGTTGGGTCAACTGTGTTCTCACGTTCGTTGAGGCATCCACACGTTGGGTTGAGGCATCAACGGCAAACCAATATTAGCGCGAATCCCTTTGATGTGTACGCAAAAACCGACACTCCACGGAAAACCCCCAACGTTGGAACAAGTCATAAAAACGTTGAGATTAAGATTACCATTTCATGTATAATGGGGTGGGGGGTGAGGGGAAAATCCGTTTCTAGACAGATAATGTGCACATTATTTGTCTAGATAATTAATTTATTATTTATTAATTTAGTTTTTTTTGTGTTTTAATCATGCTTTAGCAAATGTAAGCTTATTAAATGCGCAAACGTTTATTGAGAAACAGATTGGCTTCAATGGGGCATGTAGGTGGCTGAGCTAGTTAGAGCATAGGCACAGATCGCTTAGATCGTGGCTTCAAACTCTACCCGGTGTCAGTTGTTTAGACATTTATTAATTTGGTTGGTCTTTATTATGGCTATCCTTATTATGGCTATCCTAATTCAAGCTTAAAATGTACTTACTATTTTACGTTGTTCTAAGATCTCAAGTAACGTTTAATAAATAGCAATAGGCTAATGGGTAACTGCAATACTTGCAAGACCAAGACCAAGACCGGGTGTGCAATACCAAGACCATGACCAGGTGTATTGGCGCAAGACCAAGACTGTCTAAGTCTGGTCTTGTTCTTGCATTTCGGCAACACTAATCAGGATTACCTTACAAAAATAGTTGTATATACATCAATCTAGATGTATGTCCTTGAGTCATTCCGTTTGCTGCCAATATAGTTCTAAGATAGTCTAGTTCGTCAACTCCAATTTTTTCTCAAAATTTCTCAATAATCTAGAATACTTGTATATACATCAATCTTAATTCATATATCTGAGACACTGTGTTCCCACATTTGTATAAATCCTTCAGACTTTAAAGGTTTTGTTAAAGACTTTTAAAACCGTTATGATCTTCTTCTTATTGTACCGTCTTGTAAAGAAGGTTTGCGATTACTTTTTAAAACGCTTCCCTTATCTTTTTTAACGTGAAATATCTGTTCAACACTGAGGTTCGGCCAATCTCTAATATTCCTCAGCCAAGATTTCTTATCTAGAGTAAGATATATTTATGGAAAATTTATAGAAAATTAATAATTAATATTTTAATTATAAATTTTATTCTCTCGTTTAATCCTTAACCGGAGACACCTCGTCTGTAAGTCGACGCCAAAAAAATAATGGCTGGGTATTAACTGGTAAGACCGCCCACTGGCGTGTTACTTTATCTATTCCTTCTATTGGTCAGTCTTAACAGGTAGTCAAATTTGCGAAAGGAGATTAGTCTATATTGAGAAGTTATAAGAGTTGGTATATGCAGCGTAGTCTGACAGACAACGCGTCTCTGTTTGTGTGTGTGGTTATAGTACTCGTGTATACAAGAATATGGCCGGGCCGTCAAAGAAGCGTGTGCGATTCGGTGATCCAGATTACGTAGAGACTTTAGAGAAATGGTACCAGGAAGATTTCAGTGATACTAGTGATATAGACGACGTCTCCGACGACTATCGTATAGAATCTGAACACGATACAAGTTCAGAGCAAAGTGCTGATAAAGGTAATGAAAATGACGAGACTCTTCAAGAACGTTCATCAGCTTACTTTTATGGCAAGAATCGTTATAGATGGTCTTCTTCAGAAGTTCGTCCATCATCAAAGACCCGAAACCACAATATTGTCATGAAAATTCCCACATTGACCGCCAAATCACGAAATTTGGGTGACACAGCGGATCCTCTTTCTGTTTGGGGTTTATTATTCAGCCAAAATATTTTAGAGCACATTATGGAGTGGACTAATAAAAAACTTAGTACAATGCGTATGAGCTACAAAGCACCGAATAAAATTGATCTCAGGGACGTTGATCTTATTGAATTAAAGGCATTTTTAGGTCTATTGATATATTCAGGGATATTTGATTCAAATCATGAGAATCTGGAGACTATATTCGCTACTGATGGAACCGGCAGAGAAATATTCAGATGCGTGATGAGCATAAAACGAATGATGAAGACGAAGAATCCTGAAGACCGAGAAGATCGAAAAGCAGAATGATCCAGCGACTGCAATTTCCTTTGTATTCAATGCATTTATACAAAATAGCCAAAGTGCTTATGGTCTTGGCCAGTCCGCTACCATAGATGAAATGCTTGTGAGTTTTAGAGGACGGTGTCGCTTTAAAATGTACATGCCAAACAAACCGGCCAAGTATGGCATTAAAATACAATGCCTGACAGATGCTAGGAATAGCTATTTGTATAACGCTTACATTTACTGTGGCAGAGATTCGGATGGAAGAGGGCTCACTGCTGAAGAAAAACAACTCTTAAAACCCACTCAAGCAGCATTATGTCTCGCTAAACCACTTTTCAATAGCAATAGAAATATCACGGCCGACAACTGGTATACGTCCATACAGCTAGTGGATATTTTGCTAAAAAATAAATTGACGTATGTTGGCACAATGAAAAAAAATAAGGCCGAAATTCCACCTAATTTTTTACCTGACAAGAAAAAAGAAAAGGGAACTACAATTTATGGATTTAGAGAAGAAAAAACTATAATATCTTATGTTGGAACAAGAGGAAAGGCCACAATACTGGTATCCTCAATGCATGATAGAACTGCCACTGATAATAAAGTAAACAAACCCGAAATCATTGCTTATTATAACGGAAATAAAGGAGGAGTGGATAGTATTGATGAGAAGTGTTCCAAGAGTTCTTCGAGTCGCCGAACTCGTAGGTGGCCAATGGCAATATTTTTTCGTATTCTGGATATCTCCGTCGTAAATTCCTACATTCTACACCAATGTTACAAAAACAACGCACAAATAAAAGAAAAGAGTAAGTTTGCCCTACAATTAGCTAAACAACTAGTGCAACCACATATGGAGAGACGAATGATAAATGTGCATATACCACGAGAAATACGTCAGACCATAAGCCGTATCCTTGGCTCTACAGTAAAATCACCGGCACACCCAAATATCCATATTCTGGAAAAGAGAAAAATATGTCATCTCTGTCCGTCAGCCAAACGTAGAATGACCAAATATTTATGCATTGAGTGTCGCAAACCAACATGCCTTCAGTGTACAAAGCCAATTTGTGACAAGTGCATTGAAGAAAAACAGTAAACTTTGAGGATTGCTAGAGGAGCCCCAGGACATCATATTCAGTGTTGTTTCACATTTTTTGCTTTAGTGATTGTTGTGTTATCTTTTTTATTTTTTCAATTTTTTTTTGTTGTTAATATTACGGTTTGTAAAAAAATTTCTTTAAAACTTGTTCAATACTCTTTCTTTTTAGGTTCTGTCAAGATATTACTATTTTTCTTTGTTTATAATTGGATTTAATTTAATTTGTTCATTCTACTTAATCCAAAAGGGTTACGTTTGTCCATATTTATTAAAATATTACAGACTTTTATAGTATTTTATTTATTTTCGCCAACTAAAAAAAGTCGTCTCGTAGACGATGACTCTCTGTCTACGTAACAAAGCTGACATGTCTCCGGTTAAGGGTTAAGCTAAATCCAATTTTGACAGTTTACCGAAAAACCATCAAATTAGACAGTTAAATACATTTTATTAAGGTCACCTGCTTTAAAAATTTGCTGAGCTTATTAATCTTTACTAGTGAAAAATTAATTATTTTTTATTAAACCAACCGAAAGTTGTACACGTCTCGGTTTTATCTATGCTTTTGAAATGTCCAAAACCGCAGACAACATGCAGCTGCAGTTGTAATTGTTAGAAATAAGCTTGGGAATAATTATCTCCGTCGTGACAGGTCGTGAAAATGTCCAAAACAGAAATGTATAGTTTCTAAGCCACCTGATTTATTTTCGAAGGTACAAGGTTAAAATAGAAATACAAGTGTGGCTATACAAATAAAAGGCGCTTTGTGATAAGGCCATTTCAATTAAAAGTTTGTAAAATAATATTATCTTTTATGTTGACATGTTTTGTTAATAGTTTTTGTTTTTTGTTTACAAACACATACTTACTGCATTTTGTTAATCAGTTCATTAATAGGCATTATTATTATCTATTTTTATCGACTACTTTAGTTATTTAACTTAAGTATTATAGTAATATAAAATGTAATACCCGCCATATAAACGACAGCTTATTAGATAGAGTTAAGTTCTTACAAGGTTTCCCTGAAGAGAGGCTAAACCTCGAACTACATGTAGGAGAATTATGTAACTCGAACTTAAAAGAAATGCCATCGTCTACTTTCATTTGAACTTCTTTGCCCTACTTAAAGAATACAAATTAGGGTGTTTTACAAAGGTAAACTGTAGATGTAGTTTTGAATTATAAAGTTATTTTTACTATTGTCCTATAACTTTCAGTAAGTTTTAAGTCGCAGTTCACCTAAATTTCTATCGATGAGAAGTCTTCTAACTCGCTGTTTCTTAATAAAGATGTCGCTACCATCGCACATCGCGCATGTAACGTAACTTTTACGGCAATATATTCGAAAGAATTTCAGTTAAATGGAATTCTTACAAACCCCCTGACGAGAGATAAAACCTCGAAACAGGTGTAAGAGAGTGGTGATAAATGTGAAAATGAAAGTTGAGGAGAAATTTGCAATCAACATCTTAATGTGTACCAATTGAACGATCTAACGTTTCTGTGAATGTGTATTCATTTCTTTAGGGCTGAAATATTACTGATACGATGAATTTTAGAACTAAGACCTTGTAGCATTTTCAATTTCATTGATTCTTTTGAGTATATTGAAACCTCCTTGTATAAAAAAATATATTAAAAACTCCTTATATATTTTTAAAAAATGAAACGAAGAATTTTTCCGTGTTGTTAGCTCGTATCTTTCAAAGTACTTAAAAGTGTTTCGTCGCCGAGTAATAAAACCATTTGAGAGTTGTTTATTTTACTTCGGCAAATTCTTCTCATGTTGATGCGTCGCAAAAGGATATGTACGCCGTTTCGTTGATTTTTCTATGTCAAGTGTTTGTTTATTTTCAAGTTATGCGATCAATTTTAATAGATAATTTGGTTACTATCGTTGGAGCCGCGGTGAAAAGCGGTCAACGTTATGTCCGAATTTGACTTCAAATTCGAAATGATCCTCGTTGTTTGTGTTTTTTTATGAAGACGTTTGTTCGTCTTTTTTTATGAAGAAAATGTAAATGTTTGAGTGAAGAATGGAAGAATCGTCGATTCCATCCTCGTTTTGTTTCTCCCTGGTTATCATCCAAGGCTTTTGGCAGTATGGAGATAGATTTGTTCGAGATATGAAGATATGGAGATAGATAGTTGTGTTCATTGCACAGAGAGTAAAGCCCTCAGTCCCAGTTATGGTTTCGGATATTCCAGTGGCGTCTGGTTCCACAAATTCTAGTGCATTTTGTTAGTGAAAATCCAGGTAACTTTTTGATCAAATTTTAAAGTAAAGACAGACAATTTGTTTTGAATTAAATAATTGCTTTCGTTGACATTTAAAATTGTAAATTTTAGGTTTTGAGTTGAGCTGTCAATTTGTGTGTTTAGTTTTTTTTAAATTTAATGTAATTATGAATTAAATAATTGCTTTCGTTGACATTTAAAATTGTAAATTTTTGGTTTTGAGTTGAGCTGTCAATTTGTGTGTTTAGTTTTTTTTAAATTTAATGTTAACTTGTGACAGCTCGTTTTTTATTATTTTTTTTTGACTATTAGTTAGTTTTATTTTTAAACAAGGTTAACCTCCATATAAATTTGTAGTTTTATGTAGTATCTCCAACTCCTGGAGTTTGTAAGCGGATGACACGTAAGTTTTGTATTTTGTATTTCTCCATTTTATAACTGTTTGTGGTGACACATAAATAAATGTTAAATTTTGTTGTCTTAACATTTTATTTATTATTTTTTTGAGCTTAACCTTTTTTGATTTTTATTTGAAAAAGATATGTTTTTTATGTTTTGATTTTTTTTTCTAATTATCTCCCTAGTTACAACTAGTGGTTGTAATAGGCATGATTAGGCACCTCAAGTGGCGCCCTATATTAAATTCCATGTGGTGTTTCTTGTTTATTTTTATTTTGTTTATCTTAAGAGATTAATGACCCCTTTATTTCATTTTTTTGTAGTTGCCCCATTTCACCCCCCTTATCTTTTACTTATCCACGACCCCAGCTCTCCTACCAAACCCTGAGTGCCGTTTGCACAAGTAGCGATTATTTTGCTTGCCCTATCTCCATCCCAATAGTTTCTTCCCCCAATTTTCTATCCCCTGTATTAATGCCCCCTGTAATAGGCAAAATATTATCGTTACAACGTTAAGTTAAGAAATTGGTTAGAAAGGGTATTAGTGACTGTCGATATAAACGAACAACACCGTTTATTAGGGTTACAGTCAGAAAATTGGCCTGGGTGTTAAAAAACACTCTTTTGACTTTTTGTCTAGCTTTCGGAATGGTTTTATTCCTTTTTCGAGACACTATAATAAGAAAGATATGTAAATATTTACAAAATATCATAATTCTTCAGTGTAACTTACTAGTCGTTGAGATTATTTGTAAAAACATTGACACTCAACATTAATAACACACATATAAAATATAAAATAATGGACAAAATACATTCTAAAATTTTTTAAATTGGGGTAAAGATAGTAAAACTTAGTTTATGGCATCTTTTACTGGTGTGTTTTAACTGTGATACATAGAGAACAGAAAATAAAACCACTGTGATTAAAATGTAATTAGGTGTACTTGTAGTAAAATGTAATTAGGTATCTGTAGAATTTCATTTTTATATGTAGAGGGATTATTACCTTTGATCGTGAGTCAGTTCATATGTAGGTACCCATTTGTTGCACGAAACTGAGCCATTTGTTACTGGGAAAGTTACTTCATCAAATAGATATATCGGAAACAAACATATTTACAAAAAAAGTCAACAGGAATGACAATATTATCAGCAATACTAACGGATCCATTGGTGTAAGTAAATTTTACAATGGGTTCAGTAGGAATATTTATATGCCAACAAGAAGTATCACAAAAGTACGATAGAGAACGTTCGGCGTCGCTGAATAACTTTGAGTAACTTTCGTAACTGTTAGCCAATATATTTTCAATATTGACGACTGTAACAGTCATATCTTGAGTTTCAGTAGTAACATTTGAAACCACCCATGTAAGTCATTCTTCATTCATATTTTTTTAAATAAAGATTATTTTGTATGCAAAATATTCTTACGTGACCATTAAAGTCCATATGTTGATGCATATTTCTGTTAATGCTGTTACGTTGATGTTGTTATTGCATATGTTGATGCTGTTGATGCTATGTTAATGCATAGGTATATATGTGTATTGTTGATGCATAGTGGAATATAAATATTACTAGCATCGCTCTGAATGCCTTGATTAAGCTTGGGTATATAGTTTACCCCACATCTCATTTTGAAATGTGGGTATACCGCCGCATGTTGAGAATATCCTGGATTGATCATCGCACTAACGTATCGATACTAGAACAACTTAAAGTAAAGAATAGATTGCTTAAACAAATACAACAGAGATATTTGCAGTATTTTGGACACATTGCTAGAAGAACAGACACGATGGAAAAACTGATAGTCAAGAGTAGAGTTGAAGGAAAAAGACCTAAGGAAAGAACTCCAAGCCGTTGGGTAGATCAAACAAAAACATTGATTAACCAAGGGTTACATGAAACCGAACAACTAGCCCAGGACAGAGAAGGATGGAGGGAAATCCTAAAAAAACTGTGAATGCCTGATGGTATTACCACATCCCAAAAGTGATTAGGACTGAGGAGGAGGAGGATATAGTTTACTTTAATCGCTATCGACATTCACTTCATCTTTATCGTTAGAGGTCGCTAAAAGCATACTCTGGTAATTATTTTGCTATAATTGCCATATTAGCCGGTACATTTTGATTTAGTTTCAGTCTTCTTACAAGTCTTTTTGACAACGGGGAGACCCAGAAACACGTGTAAGAGAAAAGAAAATAAAGATAAAACATACAATAAATTAGTATAGTTGTCGTTGTTTTTTTAACGCATGTTTTTATGCATTTATAAGTAAATATTTTGTTGATCGCTACTTTTCTATAGATACCAAACAATTATAAAAGTGACAATTTATGTTTGTTTCAGGTGAGTTACATTCCAGCAGTACACATTCAGTTGTAAGTAAATTAAAGTGGTACAATTAATTAATCAGTTAAGTATTCATTACTAATAAAACAAATATTTTTTTTAATATTAATAATATTTTCTCATAATAAAACAAAAATGGTGGCAAATTTAACTTAATATTAGTCGTATAATAAAGAGGTAGTTAAAATTCCTTGGTTAATTTAAATCGATTGCAGTTTTTGGACCTTCCCATTTTTCCGAATCATCGAAAAAATGTTATTTTAAAGTTACTCATCAGTTTCTCATGGCTCTCATCAGTCTCGTTCATTGTTCGTACCTGAATTCTCATAACCATAAGTTTATTCATCTATCTAAGAACAAAAGTGTATTTTTATTGTATTTTTTGGCACTGAATCCAAATCTGTTAGGATTTTTTTCCTATAACGTACAGTTTTTTTGCTACAGATATTGCATAAATAGGCACTACATTTGTAAAAATGTGACCGAAGGTTTTATCATCTGGTGATGAAATTTTGTTGACTTTATAATTATTTCAAAGTACTGATAAAGTTCCTACTACGTACTTCACGAGAAAAATAACCGGTTAATTTGTGAAGATTTCAAAATCATCGGTATTCTCCTAAGTTTGCAAGGTAGATTTACTAAAAGACTTTGTTTTCTTTGTGAATGGGATAGCAGTGATGGGTCCAATTACTACACAGTGAAACCTTGAAACACAAGAATCCAGTTGACATCAGACCCAAAAAATGTCACAAACAGTACATTATTCTTCTTCTTCTTAGCCTTCTGTCGTCTATGTTTGTACATAGGCCTCTCCCAACTCCTTCCATCGGTCTCTATCCTGGGCAACATATTTCCAATTTGTTCCGGCTATTCTTTTAATGTCATCAACCCATC